ATTCCTAACCCAGGTCTCGCACTTACTTGCTGTGTGCCCTTGGGCAAGTTGCTTCACCTCTCTGTTTCTTTGATTCCTGTGAAATAGGAATAAAATAGTATCTAGTATCTATCCCATAGGGTTATTGTGAGGATTAAATGAGTCAGTGTGGTAAAATCCCAGAGTAGTACCTGGCATATGACAAGTACTGTTCTTAGTAGTAACTTCCAGATCCATCTGACAGGCAGGCCCTCCCACCGCATTCCACTAGCGACAGCCTCCAGCCTCCAGCCTCAGCGAACGAACAGGCGGCTCCACAGGGAGAAGCCCACCTCACCCATGGGCAGGACCTGGAATTCACGTTCCTCTCCGTGGCTTCAGACAGGGTCCCCACCTCTCTACCCTGCCCCCCACCTCCCACCCCCCCGGAGCGGAGTCCCAGGGTCTAGCCGTCTTGGGCTGTGAGGCTCCCAGGACCTGATGTATTAATACGCTGGGGCTGGAGGGGCTTGGGGGTGCCTTGGGGCTGCGAGCCATGGGGGCAGCTGGGTGTGGTCTGGAGAAATAACCCAGCCTGGCGAGTGCAGGGAACTGGGTTTGCAGAGCCCTGGCCCAGCGCGATGTGGGCCCGGCCAGGGGCCAGCGTGTGGGTGGTTTATGGGCTGTGTGGGCTGGGGAGGTGCGGGAACAGGAAGTGGGATGGCGGAGCGGGTGGGGTCGAGCCAGGCTGTGGGCCAGGCACCTTCTCAGCGGCTTCCCCACCCGCTCCCTTTTTGTAATTCCCGGGCAGGTCCCACCCCACGTTTAAGCCGGCGTTCTGGTTAGTTGTCTCTTTAGGGACGGGGAGGCTGTACCCTTCCTGGGCCGGGTCCCTCCTCATCCCCGAGGGGTGCTCAGCAGGGTGTGCTGTGCTGGGGTGAGGACAGGGGCGGGGTCCCTGGTCAGGGGTCTGGACTTCGGGAGGGGTACTAAGAGAGTGAGAGCCCGAAGCCCCGCCCCTGCTCCTCCCTCTGTCGTCATGGTACCTCTGCAGCTGCATGGCCCTGTGAGCCTCAGTTTCCCTCTCTGAATAATGGGCATCATTCCTTGCCTTCTGTGCGTTAGTTTTGTGAGGGCTGAATGAATATGAACATGCTTTTTCCCCACAAAAGTGCTGTGTCTGTATAAGCATCATCAATGTTGTCATCGATCCCCTCTGTCATGAGCCAGGCACGTGGTTGGTACCTTGTCATGATCCAATTTAAATTTTGACCCACAACCTCAGGGAGACCCTTTCCTCATTTTACAGGACCGAGGCTCAGAGAGGTGAAGGAGCTCCTCCGAGGTCACACAGCTCTAAATCAGCTTAACCCCTGGTTGCTCCGTCCTGCCTGGAGCACCTGCCCCTGGGGTGGGGCTGGGGTGGGGGCAGAGGTCCGGAGCGGCGGCTGGGGGCTGGGAGGGTGCTGTGGTCGAGGAGGACCCTGGCCCTGACCCCTCTGCATCTGCCCCCCAGGCTCCCGGTGCCCAGTGGGCTCAGGCCCGGAGCCCAGAGCAACCAGCACCATAGCGTCCAACAGCTGGAATGCCAGCAGCAGCCCCGGGGAGGCCCGGGAGGATGGGCCCGAGGGCCTGGACAAGGGACTGGACAACGATGCGGAGGGCGTGTGGAGCCCGGACATCGAGCAGAGCTTCCAGGAGGCCCTGGCCATCTACCCGCCCTGCGGCCGGCGCAAGATCATCCTGTCGGACGAGGGCAAGATGTACGGTGCGTGTGGGGGCCCGGCGGACCGCCTCCCGCCACTCCTTGCGCTCTGCCCCTCACCCGACCGGTTTGGCGAAGTCCCGAGGCCGCCAGCGAGTCTGGGCGTGCCAGCCTGTGTGTCTGGAGCCTGCACAGCCTCCTCGCAAACAAGCTGGCCTGCCCCCACCAGCCGGCCCACACCTCTGCACCCGCCGCCCTCTCCCCTCCGCGGGCATGGAGGTTTCGGGCTGACTCAGTGGGCTCAGGAAACTGGGTCAGTCCGGGGTGCTCCAGGCAAGGCCTGGAGAGGGTCCCTCCCTGCAGGATGTGGGAAGGAGGCCCAAGGGCCGCGGCCTGGGCAAGGGTCCCCACACAGTTCTCTCCAGCGTCGGGGGAGCTCGCTCTGTGACAACGGCCTGCGTTGGGAAGAGGGCTGGGGAACGTGGGGACACGTTCATTCCTCAGTCCCCCCCCAGTCTCTGCCGTATCCCTGGCCTCTCTCTCTGCCCTCTTGCCCACCTCCAGAGGGACCTCCCCTCTTGTCCAGCCCTGAGATGGCTTTGCCAGAGCTGCATTTGGGATAACTCGGCTCCCCCCGGACCTCCCAGGTGGCCCCTGGGGGAGCAAGGCAGGCCGCAGCTTCTCCCTCCAGCGCCCAGGGCCGTGGCGGGCATGGGAAGCAGTAGGGGCCGCCTGTGTCCCTTGGCCCCACCCGTCTGCCACCCCCACCCTGGGCACCGGAGCCCCACCGTGGGGACAGGCAGATGTTCCAGGGCGCCTCCGTAGGGCAGGGGCCATCTGCCCCCACTGCTACCTCCCCGATGGCTGGGGCAGCCCCATGGGGTATTTTTAGCCAGGGCGGAGGGAGTGGGGTGGAGGGGACCTTGGGGAAGGGAGGAGCAGTGGGGCTGGTTCTGTCATCGGAGAGGAATTTGGAGAATTCGGCCGGTCTGGGGAGGCCATGGGGTTGGGGGACAGGGGGCCTGGATTTGGGGGCAGAGGTGTACACCCTGAGGATGCTGACACACGCAAGTACCCTCCCTTGGGCACCGGCCAGCTTCTGGGCGCTCAGAGGGGCCGCGGTGCTGAGCAGAGCCCCCACCCCAAGGCTGACAATGCTTCTCTCTCACGGGGCGGAAACAGCACTGGTAACCGGTGACATAGGAATGACGGGCACAAGGACATGGTAACACGCTCAGTGACACATCTTGACACAGTATAGGAGGCATGTTGGAGGGTGTCAGTCCTTCCTGGTCTTCCTTCACCAGAGAAGGAAAGGGACTCGTCCAGGGTCTCCCCGGTGGCAAGGACAGTGCTGGGACAGGAGCCCAGTCCAGATCCCCTTCAGACTTGCGTGGGGACGTGTGAGACGTCCACCATCTCACTCACACGCACCCCCACGTGCACACTCAGAGCTTTGGGGCTGGTGACACGGGCAGTGTCGCTGGGGGCTGGAGTGGCAGGTGCCGCGCTGGGACAGGCCCCGCCGGCACCGTCCTGCTGTCCTGCTGACCTGTGCCGCAGGCTTCTGTCTGGGGGCAGCCTGTCAGGGCGCCTGGCGCTGCTCAGTCCCCTCCCCAGCCACCTTCGCCCGCCCTGCTGGCAGCCTAGGGGACGTGGAGCGAAGAGAGCGGGAAGGGATCAGTGTTTTGGGAGGGTCGGGGTCTCTGCCTCCAGCTCCGCCCTTTGCCCAGGCCTCATTTGTTCTCTCGCCCCAATCTAGGTCGCAACGAGTTGATCGCACGCTACATTAAACTGAGGACGGGGAAGACTCGGACGAGAAAACAGGTAGAGAGACGATTCACGCCCCCACGCCCCCTCTGCCGCCAGCGTCGCGTGCTGTGCGTGGGGGGATGGCCCCGCTGTCCTCTCTGACCGCCCAACGCCTTGCCCGCGGCCTCCAGATAAGGCCGTGGCGCCGCTGCCCCAAGTGGCCCTGCCCGGCAGGGAGCCAGATGGTCAGAGAGAGAGGAGCGTGTGTGCAGGGCACTGGGACAAGCGTCCGACCCAGACCGGGAAGGCATCCCAGAGGAGGTGGCACTGGGAGGCATTTGAAGGGGAAGTGGGAGTCAGCCAGGCGGAGACAGCGAGAGGTCCCTCCCGGCCTGAGCAGGGCGGGCGGGTGCGTAAGGAGCACCGCGCACCCACGCCGAGCCTGCTCCGCGTCAGTTCACTTAGTTCTCTCGGCGACTTGGTGAGGCGGGCACGCTCGTTATCTCCCTTTTCCTGATGAGGAAACCGAGGCACAGGCGACTTCAGGAACTGCCTCTAGGTCCCTCAGCTGCGGGGTGCTGGGTCCAGGAGGGGGCCGCGGTCAGTTAGCGCGGGCGGCTCACCCCCCGCCGTGGTTCCCGAGCCAGTGAGTCGAGTCGGTAACACGTGGAGACGCTTCAGACAGAGTAGCGCGGCGGCAAGTTCTTTGTCGTCACTGTCATCGTCGTGAACGGAAGGCTGTCCTGGGCTCGGAAGGGAACTCTCGTCAAGTCATGCTTCACCCGAAGGGTGTGTTCGTGGGAACCTGTTGGTCGCCGTGGGAAGGGGCCAGGAATACTGGGCTTGGTCACGTTGAGCTGAGGCCCAGGCCGCAGCGGTGGGCACATCCCAGCCTTAGTTCTGCGCCCACCGCTACACCTGCTCCTGCACGAGCCCCTGAGAAGGCCGCCTGGACAATGGGCTTTTACACACCAGCTGTCGACAGGCTCAGAATCATTTATTTTTTCTGAGACAGTCTTGCTCTGTCACCTGGGCTAGAGTGCCGTGGCATCTGCTTAGCTCACAGCAACCTCAAACTCCTGGGCTCAGGCGATCCTCCTGCCTCAGCCCCCCGAGTAGCTGGGACTACAGGCATGCGCCACCATGCCCGGCTAATTTAATTTTTTTAATATATTTTTAGTTGCCTGGCCAATTTGTTTCTATTCTTTTCAGTGGAGACGGGGTCTCGCTCTTGCTCAGGATGGTCTCGAACTCCTGAGCTCAAGCGATCCTCCTGCCTCGGCCTCCCAGAGTGCTGGGATTACAGGCGTGAGCCACTATACCCGGCCCAGCTCAGAATTTTGCAAACAGCTGGCCTTAATCATTTTGTAAGGGTGGGGCTCCTTCTAACTTTATCCTTTCTAGAACTCTAGGTTTTTATATCTAATATCCCCTTGAAAGAGGACCCATCCTGCATTGTGAGGACAAGGTGGGTGGCATGTCTTTATGTGTTGCAGGAGCAACCAGCCAACAAGTTATTATTTTTTCCTGCTCATTTTTTATTTTATTAATACTTCTGGCAAAGAAATGCAGTTTTAGTTTTTTATAGATACACGCGGCAATTGACAGCAAGTACGATGCCTCCACATGTTGACAGAAACAGCTAAATATTAAATTGGGATAAAGTTCCATGTGACTTTCGGCTGTCACAGAGTCAACCATTTCGGGGTGGTCCTCTGTGCCAAGGGTCCAAACAAGGTGTGGTAGCATAGCTTGGTGGTGAAGCACGTGGGCTCTGAAGTCAGACCTAGTTTGAATCCTGGCTCTAGCATCCAGCTGTGTGACCTTGGATAAGCTCCTTAACCTCTCTGTTTTTGGTTTGATCGTCTGTAAGTCAGGGATATTAAAATAGTACCTACTTCCTAGCTTTGCAGTGAAGATCAGGTGAGTGGGTACGTGTGGCGTGCTGAGAGCCACAGTGCCTGTGCTGAGTTACTGTGTCCCAGCATGAAGCGATCGGTAGTTTTCATGGACGTGTCTGATTCCTGGGTAGGGTGAGGCAGTGAGAGAGGCACCCACCTAGGTTCTAACCAAGTGGTGTCAGGGGCTGCCCAGCGTCACACACATAGTAGCTTTCAGGCTATGATTAAAAAGAAAAATAAACCGTCTCTTTGCGGGGTAAAAACAGCCTGCGAAGAAAGCCTGCAGCAGGTGCTGGTTCTGCAGGCGCGAAGCTGCCTCCAGGCCCTGTTTGCTGCCGTGGCCCGGAGGAAACAGTGGTGTTTGGGTCCTCCGAGGGTCAGGGTCGGATCCTTGACACCGTCAAGGGTCTGCTGTGCAAGCCGGGCACACAGCCCAGGATGTATACGTGCAGACCGCGATTAGCTCAGGTTTGCCAGCAGAGGCTTCAGGGAGAAGAAGTGCAATTAAGAGCACCTACTGTGTACATATATACATTGGCATACATTAGTCCAAGGAGAAGGAAGGTGCGTTGGGGCAGGAAGCTGCGGGAGCAGAGTAGGAAAAGCACCAGGCCTAGTTTTATAGGGTGGGGTTGCTGGGGTTGGCAGGAGGACCTAGGCAGTGGTACAGGGGAGATCTTTGGTCAAGGATGTGGCCTTGTTCTGGAATTGAAAGGCCAACAGAGCATCACAGCCATTGCTAGCCCCCAGTGGTGCCAGTTAGTAAAAGGTGTCTCTGAGGTCACCAGTGAGGAAGAAGTCACCCCTTTTGGGGAGGGAACAAACACCCTTCCTCTGGGTTAGGAGCAGCCTTGTACCAGGGCATATGGCTTGGCCAGCAGAACTTGGGCTGGATTTCAGTCCTCACTGATGCCCTCTAGGCCAGGTACTCTTGTACAGTGAACAACCTGTACAACCGTACATGATAGCCCTGGAAGCCACTTTAGGCTCTTGAGCAAGACAAGGCCAAGAAGAGAGCGGAATTGGCAGTGCCAAGAGGTGTCTGTCCACAGGGGCCCCAAGGTTCCCCCAATTTTCATTTGGTCCCCCAGAGATGAGGGCTGGGATGCTCTTTTCTCCGTGGCTACCCTGTGGCTGTGCCTCCTCACTGTCTGTGTTTTCCTCTCTGGCGGGACTTGGGGCGGCCCCTAGGTGTCCAGCCACATACAGGTTCTAGCTCGGAAGAAGGTGCGCGAGTACCAGGTTGGCATCAAGGTACGTCGGGTGCCGGACTGGGGCCTCCAGCCTCTGCCGGGCCCCTTACCCACGGCGCCTCCAGCACTGTCCGTGCGCGGCTCAGGCCCCTGCCTCGGCCGTTCCTCCGGCCCACTGTGCCTCCTTTCTGGCTGCAGCTCCGCTCTGGCATCTCCTCCGCTCTCCGCTCTTGTTCTCTTCCTTTCTCTCCCCACAGGTCTCTAGCCACTTGCAGGTTCTAGCCAGGCGGAAATCCCGGGAGATTCAGTCCAAGCTGAAGGTATGGGCCCCTGCCACCTGGCCTGGCCCTGCCCCATCCTCTCTGGCCCCAGCCTGGGCAGGGAGGGGCAGAGAAGCTGTGAGAGGTCTCAGAAACACACGTGGCAGCAGGAAGCCCCAGGACCATGTCAGGCTACACAGGGCCACAGCCCCTGGGAACTGAATAGGAGCCCAAGGGGATAGCCAGCCCTCCAGTGAGGAAGAGGGAGACCATCTGGGGGGCACTAAGGCCCACCTCTCCTTTTCTCTGTTTTTCTTTTTCTCCTTCCTCCTGACTGCTGCTTACTAACTGCATGGAGACTTCAGGTGGGCAGGGAGGAGCACCGGGGGTACGGGCTGGAGGGGCTAAAGCGGTGGGCATGGCAGTTCCTCGCAGGCCTGGCTGCTCCGCAGCCAAGGATCTCAGTCTGGGGGTTGTGACCTGGGCCCTTGTCAGGCCCCGTGTGGGCTGTGTGCGCTTCTCCCTGCCCACAGCTGCGCGGGGGGCTGAGCCTCCAGCCCTGCCCCCATCCTCCAGCAGACACTGACAGACCCGGGGTGCCAGCTTGTTCCTCCCCCATCCTCCCTTTTCCAGGGCTTGCCCCCACTTGGCAAGCACCCCCTCTGGGGCCACGGGGAGGGTCCGCAGCTGCCTCTAAGCAGCTTCCTTGGGCCCCTTGGGAGCTAAAGCCAGGTGGGTGCTGGGTGGAGGTAGGCGGAGACGCGTCCCCAGCCCACACTGCCCTCTCTTCTAATCCACCCTCCCGCTTTCCTTTGCAGGCCATGAACCTGGTGAGTAGCACTGCCTGCCCCGGGGTGGGGAACCTGCGGCCTTGGGGCCACGTGTGGCCTTCTGGATCCTTGAGTGTGGCCTTTTGACTGAATCCAAATTTTACAGAACAAATCCTTTTAATAGCCCAGAACATTTGATACAGGATTTTCAAATTAGAGATTGTGGAATCACTTCAATAGGTTTGCAAGCAGCATTTTTTGAAAATGCAGTACAGTGGTTCTCAAACTTTAGTGTGCATCAGAGTCACCTGGAGGGATTGTCAAAACAAATTTCTGGGCCTCACCCTCAGAGTTTCTGATTCAGTAGGTCCAGGGCCTGAAAATGTACATTTCTTTCTTTCTTTCTTTTTTTTTTTTTTTTTTTTGACAGGGTTTCACTCTGTCACCTGGATAGAGTACAGTGGTGTCATCCTAGCTCACTGCAACCTCAAACTCCTGGGCTCAAGCCATCCTCCTGCCTCAGCCTCCCGAGTAACTGAGACTACAGGCACATGCCTCCACGCCAGGCTGATTTTTTAAATTTTATTTTTAGTGGAGATGAGATCCTGCTATGTTTCTCAGGCTGGTCTTGAACTCCTGGCCTCAAGCCATCCTCCCGCCTTGGCCTCCCCGACGGCTAGGATTACAGGTGTGAGCCACCACGCCAGGCCTGAAAATATACATTTCCAGGTGCTTTCGGGTGATGCTTGTGCTGTTGGTCCATGGACCATACTTTGAGAACCACGGATGAAATATTATAGAGTAGAAAATACGAGTGTGTGTGACATACGATAAGGCTACGGAATAAAATTACTTCTTACTGCGGGCGTGGTCAGAGGTGATGTGCGCTGAGGAGGCTGAGACCAGAGAGGGGCAGAGACTCTCCTGAGACCACACATCAGACCCGGACTCCCTGGGCCCCGAGGCCTGGGAGGGGGCCCCAAGGCAAGCCCACGCCTTGTCCCTGGCCCAGGCCTTACTCGGCCCCACTCCCCAGGACCAGGTCTCCAAGGACAAAGCCCTCCAGAGCATGGCGTCCATGTCCTCCGCCCAGATCGTCTCCGCCAGCGTCCTGCAGAACAAGTTCAGCCCACCCTCCCCCCTGCCCCAAGCCGTCTTCTCCACTTCCTCGCGGGTACGGGGTCCGGGGGTGGGCTGGGTGGGCATGCTGTGGGGGATGGGCTTTAGTGGAGTCGTGGGGACTGAGGGGCCCTTGTCTTTGTCCCATCCCAGCAGTTCTGGAGCAGCCCTGCTCTCCTGGGACAGCAGCCTGGACCCTCTCAGGAGTGAGTACTGCGGCCCGTCCTCCCACGCCGTCTCCCTCCTTGCAGCCACGCCGGGCTCCCCTCCTTCTGGGTTCCAGCAACAGCTGAGCAAAGTTTTAGCTCAGAAATGTCGGGCCGCAGAGCGGCAGTGGAGCCTGGGGCACCGTCGGCCCATCCGTGCGCGGGTCGCCAGCCCACTCGCCACTGGCGCCCGCAGTCAGTTTTCACCCGGGTAACCTCCGAGCCAGCCACTGGGTTCACAGTCGGGAAGGCGAGCGTGCTTGGTTTCTCCAGTCCTGACACAGCTTTCGTCGTAAGGCACGCCGGTAGCTTAACACAGAGATTCCCGGGCGGGGCGGAAACGCCGCGTTCAGCGTGCACGTTAGGTGTGAGATGCAGCCGGCGTTCATAAAAGTTAAAATGGGAAGAAAACAAGCGTGTGAGTCAGCTTGCCAGCACGTGCTTCCGAGCCCCGAGAGAAAGGCTAGGTGGCTTTCTGTGGGGGTCCTGGGTGGGGGGCTGGGCCAGGTGGAAGGTGGGGAAGGGGGTGACCCTCTAACCAGGCTGTGCTCCTGTCTGCAGCATCAAGCCCTTTGCACAGCCAGCCTACCCCGTCCAGCCGCCCCTGCCGCCGACGCTCGGCAGTAAGTTCCCCGCGTGAGGCTGCTGCCACCACCGCTCTCCCTGGCACCTGCACCTCTGCTCGGGAGAGCTGGGCCCAACCGTGTGTGTGTGTGTGTGTGTGTGTGTGTGTGTGTGTGTGTGTGTGTGTGTGTGTTGGGAGGGAGGGGGAGATGGCATCTGTAGGGGATTGGGACAGGCCAGAAATATCTCCTTTACCTTGTACAGTGTTGCTGAACTCGGCACAAAGCCATAGCCAGCACACGGCTACGTAAACACCGCCCAAACCATCACACTTACATACAGCTCTATGCACAGGATACTCCTGTAAGGAGAGACACCAAAATCCTAATAGGGCTTTACTCTCTCTAGGTGGTAGGATTCTTATTACTTCCCCTTTTTGCTTCTGTGTTTTCTGTTTAAAAACACATTAATACTGACACAAGAAAAACGTCCTTTGTGTATACTACTGGGGGGCTGCCACGTAGAGTTGTGCAGGTCGTGTACTGTACAAGGACACCCAGTAGGGGAGTCGAAATCCAATCCACGTTCCTACCCGAGAGGGGCACTGTTTTCTAATCTGCACGGAGGCTCTGCAGGCTGGGGCAGTAACCATGTGCCCGCGCCCATGCGGATGAGGCTCCGTCTCGCCCTCCCAGGTTACGAGCCCCTGGCCCCGCTCCCCCCAGCTGCTGCCTCTGTGCCCGTGTGGCAGGACCGCACCATTGCCTCCTCCCGGCTGCGGCTCCTCGAGTACTCAGCCTTCATGGAGGTGCAGCGCGACCCTGACACGGTAACGTGTTTGGGGGTGGGGCTGAGGCTTTGCACAGTCGTGGAGAGGCTGGCTGGGCATTCCAGGACCACAGCTCGGGGTCCTGGGGGTGGGGGTCTGGCCTGTCTGAGAAGCCACAGGGCAGCTCTGTCACCGTGCGGCGCCCCCTTCCCCACCCCAGGCCCGCATGCTCGGGTGCCCTCCTGACCTTGTCTGGGCCGCCCCCACAGTACAGCAAACACCTGTTTGTACACATCGGCCAGACGAACCCCGCCTTCTCGGACCCGCCCTTGGAGGCAGTTGACGTGCGCCAGATCTACGACAAGTTCCCTGAGAAAAAGGGGGGACTGAAAGAGCTCTATGAGAAGGGGCCCCCGAATGCCTTCTTCCTCGTCAAGTTCTGGGTGAGCCGCCCTGGTCCCTCTCTGCTCCCAGCCCAGATGTGCAGCACCCCCTGGCCCACTGCACTGCCCCCCGACACTGCTGTCTCCCTGTGGCCCGTGGGCAGAGTGCCGGAGATGGGTCCCTGGGCGGAAGGCCGATGTGGTGCGGCGGGAAGCCTCCCTCTGGCCTCTGCCAGCCCCTGAAGCCCCCACCCCACCCCCACCCCAGGCCGACCTCAACAGCACCATCCAGGAGGGCCCGGGAGCCTTCTATGGGGTCAGCTCCCAGTACAGCTCTGCCGACAGCATGACCATCAGCGTCTCCACCAAGGTGTGCTCCTTCGGCAAGCAGGTGGTGGAGAAGGTGGAGGTGAGTGGTGGCCCGGGTGGCGTGGCGGGGCCGGGAGCGCGCAGACCGAGTGACGCACTCTGTCTCCGGGCTCTCCGCAGACGGAGTACGCCAGGCTGGAGAACGGGCGCTTCGTGTACCGGATCCACCGCTCGCCCATGTGCGAGTACATGATCAACTTCATCCACAAGCTGAAACACCTGCCCGAGAAGTACATGATGAACAGTGTCCTGGAGAACTTCACTATCCTGCAGGTGTGGGCGGCAGCAGGGGATGTGGGGGTTCCTGGGAGGGCCACAGGCCAGGGGCCTCAAAGTGGGGTAGCCAGACCCATTACTCAGACGAGAAGCTGAGACCAGGAAGGAGAAGGGTCTGCTCGGCCCCTGCCCCGTGGCCCTGTTCTGCCTGACTTCCCGAATCTTCCTACCCATCCCCCAGGTGGTCACAAGCCGGGACTCCCAGGAGACATTGCTTGTCATTGCTTTTGTCTTCGAAGTCTCCACCAGCGAGCATGGGGCTCAGCACCACGTCTACAAGCTTGTCAAAGACTAGGGTGCCCTCTGACCCCTCACAAGGATGCAGGACGAGCATCTCCTCCGCATACCTGCCTGGCACCCCCAGCGGACCAGGATTGAGGACTCATCCACCTGTCAGGCCTCAGGCCCAGGACCCAGGAGGCCTCCCCACTCCCCCAGCACACACACTCCCTGCCACTGTTCTGCGCTTTAATCGTGGGAGAAGAGAGAGCTTGGCAGTGGGGCAGCCTGTCTGGGGCGCTGACCCACCATCGCCCAGCTCTGCCCAGCCTCCAGTGACCTCAGAGAGGTGGGGATGGAGGACACCTTCAGGCTCTGGCATGTGTGGCCACTGACCCCCCAGGGCAGTGTGGTGGGCAGGCGAGGGTAGAGTGGAGACGGAGGAGTCGACGTGCAGAGGCCCGGGGGAAGGAGAGTGTCAAGTCGGGGTTAGGCTGAGGAAAGAGAGGAGCCCCCACTTCCTTGCTCCTTCTACATGCCAGGCCTGGTGCCAAGGCTCCTTGCATGGCTTGTGCCGTCCTCAGACCCTACAAAGCAGGCATGGGCTTCCGTGTTTCAGATGAAGTGCTGAGACTCCAAGAAGCTGAGGCACCCACAGGAGGGGTGGGCAGAGCTGAGCTCTCGTGCAGGGCTGCCTGTCCCCAGAGCCCAGGTTTACACTACCTCCCTGGAGCAGGGTGGGGGAGGGGCGCCTCCTTGGGGGCCTGGACACAGCACGTTCTCCCAGAGTACCCTGCGCGGGGGAGCACCTGTTTCTGACCAGGCAGGAAGGGGAAAGTGCAGCCGCTACTAGGCACCTGTTAGCACCCCCATCAGCCCGCAAGCCAGCCATTGGCCCCAGGAGCCTCCAGGCACCCCTCCAAGCTGCCCTGGCCCAGATCAGGTGCCCAAGCGCCCCAGCACCCTCCAGAGGCAGGCCCAGGCTGAGAAACAGAATTGAGGGCCAGGGAGAGGAAGATGCAGTCCCGGCCTCCTGGCATACCGGAGACCAGGGGGGAGACCAGGGGAGGAGGGCTAGCAGGCGGCTTTGGTATTTTCTCTTGCCCGAGACGTGGGTTTGACAAAACCTCGGTGGGCACTGCCCCCTTCTGTTCTTCCCCACCTCAGTCTCCCTGCCCTGGAGCAGCCACTCGCAGGCCCAGTTCTTGGACCGAAGGTGAACCCTTCCCCTGCACCCAGGCCCCCGAGGGCCAGCCAGGCCTGTCCGGCAGCAGCCCTGGGTATTCATGGGTTTCGTATGAAGTACTGTGCCCTTCCCTTCCGCAGCCCCGGTCCTGCCTGAACTTCCTGACGGTCCTCACAGTTTGCATATCGCTCAGGCCACCTCCAGACCCCACCTAGGTTTTATAATGTATATTATATATATTTTTGTGTATTTTTTAAATCCAGCTATGATGGGTTGTATCATAAATGCAGCTTGGGGCTGGGGCGGAGGCCCTCAAGGCCCTACGCCTGCTCAAAAAAAAAAAAAAAATTAAAGTTATTTGTTTGTGGGCCAGTCATGTGACCAGCTGTGTGCCAGACCTTTGGATTGGAGCAGCTTGAGGTGCGTGCTCCTCCCAGGCCCCGGCGTGTGGCCCTCCATCCCCGCACCTTCTGTCTCTGCTGAGAGGCCCCAGGCCCCGCCCATACTTCAAAATGATGCAGGGGCCCCACGAAAGCTTTGCCAGCTCCTGACAGTTCTCACATGCCCTCCTGCTTGAACTGAGCACTTTTCTGTGCCCAGCGCTGGCCCGAGCTCACCTGAGTGACTTGCCCAAGGTCGCAGAATGGGCGCTCCAGAGCCCTGCTAAGCCAGCACAGACTAAGAGCCTCAAGATCCCAAGCCACGCCCAGCCCTGAGCCACCTCCTGCTCACACAGCAGGGGCCAGAGTCAGGGGTTTTGGGGGAGGGGACAGTTCCTGATGCCCTTCAGTGGGCGTCTCGGTCCCGAGAAGGCTGCTCCAGCCTTTCTGCCTGCAGTTAAAGGTGGGTGAACTGTGGGCTCACTAGTCACGGGATGGGAAACATTGCCCTGAGGGGGGCATGCTGGAGATGACTGGGGTGAAGTAAAATGGGGGTCACCCAGTTAAACTTGAATTTTAGATCAACAACAAATCGTTTTTTAGTTTAAATATAGCCCACGCAATACTAAAAAAAATTCATTGTTGATGTGAAATTCAAATTTGGGCATCCTGTATTTTTATTTGCTAAATCTAGTAATCCTCTAGAATCTGGTCTTCTAGTTCTTTCTGGTCCAGCCTCCAAGTTTACAAATGGGGAAACTTGAGACCAAGGTTAAGTGAACTCCTCACTCAGCAAGTCACTGGCAACATGATTCGAACCTGGTCTCCCTGACTCCAAGTTGTGTGCCTGGTCTACCATTTACCCCGTGGCTTTGTCCACTGAATTAGAGGGACCGAAGACTGTCACGTGCAGGACGGGAGTCTGTTTGGAGCCCCAGTCAGGTAGGAGAGGGTCCTGAAGGCAGAAATCCAAACTAGGGCTGGATGTCACCACTGGGTGCTACATCTAGTCTGTGCTCGCAGATGAATGTCTGCTGGGTGACCGGGCTCAACAGCCTTCAGGTGATTGCTTTTGCCTTTCTTTAAGCACTGCTGTTTAAGAGACGGTCTCACTGTCATCCAGGCTGGAGTGATTGCAGCTCACCACAACCTCAGACTTGGCTCAAGCGACCCTCCTGGCTCAGCCTCTCAAGTTGCTAGGATGGTTAATTTTTTTTTTTTTTTTTTGCAGAGGCAGGGTGTCACTATGTTGCCCAGGCTAGCCTCAAACTCCTGGCCTAAAGAGATTTTCCTGTGCTGGGATCACAGGTGTGAGCCCCTGCACCCAGCCCTGGTATTACTTTTTTTTCCGATTGCAAAGATCACAGGATGTTTAGAAAATACAGAAAAGCCCAAAGAAAATTAAAGTATTCTAATTCCCAGAGCTAACCATTCTTAACATTTTGGTATTGCTTCTAATTGTTTGTACTATAGATGCACTTTTTTCTCCCTTTCCAATATAAAATTGGGTCCTTAAAAGCTAAAATGGCAAAAACTGCTCTAGATCTTGCGTAAAAACCTTGTAGTCTTCAGTTCAAGGACAGCTAAAGCTTGCATTTTGCAGTACCAATGTTACACTTTGGAACAAGCCTTCAGATCTATTAGAGAGCAGATTCGGATGAGACCATAGGTGACAAGGAAAACTAGGGCCAGGCACAGTGGCTAACACCTATAATCCCCAGGAGGATCGCTTGAGGCCAGTTCAAGGCCAGCCTAGGCAATGTAACAAGACCCCATCTCTACAAAAAAATAAAAAACTTAGCCAGCCAGGCGTGGTGGTACACACCTGTAGTCTCAGCTACATGGAAGGCTGAGGCAGGAGGATCACGTTAGCCCAGGAGTTTGAGGTTGCAGTGAGCTGTGATCATGCCACTGTACTCTAGCCTGGGTGACAGAGCAAGACCCTGTCTCAAAAAAAAAAAAATGAACTGGCTTCATTATTTACCAAAGTTAAATGAAGCAGAGTCAAGTCAAAGGTTAAGCCACAGGTATTTCCCACCACACCAAAAGCCACCTTTCCAGTAGCGGGTGCTAGAGGCAAGAACTGCAACAGGGAAATGCCTCAAAAGGCCCCATGGGCTGAACCTGCCAGGGGCTCAGGCAGAGCACAGGGCCTGGAAGTTTCCATAGCCTGACTCCACCCACTGTTGGTTCCCCTAGAAAAAAGCAACAGGGTCCTTTGATTTTGTGCTGGTTTGTTGTTGGCCATTTTTTCCCCAACATTTACTCATTTCTGACCCTAAACATAGGCTATTCAATTTGGGGTCAGGCAGCTCAGAAATGCTAAGATCCTACACTGACTTCTAAGTGTTTGCAGACCAATCCTATCAAAAGCATTTAGGAGTCCAATCTTCACTTTGCAAGAACTTTCCTTGTAATTCCTACATACTGGGACTCCCCAACGTTCAATTTAGAGCTTTCAAAACTTAGGGCTCAGAAGTCCACACTAAGCACCAC